CAGAGACCCACAGACACAAACAGACACACAGAGACCCACAGATGCACACACAAACCCACAGACACACAGACACACAGAGACCCACAGACACATACACAGAGACAGACACACACAGAGACCCACAGACACATACAGAGACCCACAGACACACACAGAGACCCACAAACACACACAGAGACCCACAGACACACACAGAGCCCCACAGACACACACAGAGACCCACAGACACACACAGAGACCCACAGACACACACAGAGACCCACAGACACACACAGAGACCCACAGAGACCCACAGACACACACAAACACACACAGACACACACAGAGACCCACAGACACACACAGAGACCCACATACACACACAGAGACTCACAGACACACACAGAGACCTACAGACACACACAGAGACCCACAGACACACACAGAGACCCACAGACACACACAGAGACCCACAGAGACACAAAGATACACACAGAGACCCACAGACACACACATACACACACAGAGACTCACAGACACACAGAGACTCACGGATACACAGAGACCCACAAACACACAGAGACTCACAGACACACACAGAGACTCACAGACACACACAGACCCACAGACACACACAGAGACCCACAAACACACAGAGACCCACAGACACACACAGAGACACACAGACACACACACAGACCCACAGACACACACAGAGACTCACAGACACACAGAGACTCACGGTCACACACACAGAGACCCACAAACACACACAGAGACTCACAGACACACACAGAGACACACAGACACACAAATAGGCCTACAGACACACACAGAGACACAGAGACCCACAGAGACCCACAGACACACAGAGACCCACAGACACACACAGACCCACAGACACACACAAACCCACAGACACACACACAGACCCATAGACATACACAGAGACTCACAGACACACAGAGACCCACATACACACACAGAGACCCACAGACACACACAGAGACCCACAGACACACACAGAGAGCCACAGACACACACAGAGACCCACAGACACACACAGAGAGCCACAGACACACACAGAGACCCACAGACACACACAGAGACACACAGAGACCCACAGAGACCCACAGACACACACAGAGACCCACAGACTCACGCAGAGACCCACAGACACACACAGAAACCCACAGACACACACAGAGAGCCACAGACACACACAGAGACCCACAGACACACACAGAGAGCCACAGACACACACAGAGACCCACAGACACACACAGAGACACACAGAGACCCACAGAGACCCACAGACACACACAGAGACACACAGACACACACAGAGACCCACATACACACACAGAGACTCACAGACACACACAGAGACACACAGAGACCCACAGAGAGCCACAGACACACACAGAGACCCACAGACACACACAGAGACACACAGAGACCCACAGAGACCCACAGACACACACAGAGACCTACAGACACACACAGAGACCCACAGACACACACAGAGACCCACATACACACACAGAGACCCACAGACACACACAGAGACCCACATACACACACAGAGACTCACAGACACACAGAGACCTACAGACACACACAGAGACCCACAAACACACACAGAGACCCACAGACTCACGCAGAGACCCACAGACACACACAGAGACCCACAGACACACACAGAGAGCCACAGACACACACAGAGACCCACAGACACACACAGAGAGCCACAGACACACACAGAGATCCACAGACACACACAGAGACACACAGAGACCCACAGAGACCCACAGACACACACAAAGACACACAGACACACACAGAGACCCACATACACACACAGAGACTCACAGACACACAGAGACCCACAGACACACACAGAGACCCACAGACTCACACAGAGACCCACAGACACATACACAGAGACAGACACACACAGAGACCCACAGACACATACAGAGACCCACAGACACACACACACAGACCCACATACACACACAGAGACCCACAGACACAAACAGACACACAGAGACCCACCGATGCACACACAAACCCACAGACACACACACAGACACACAGAGACCCACAGACACATACACAGAGACAGACACACACAGAGACCCACAGACACATACAGAGACCCACAGACACACACAGAGACCCACAAACACACACAGAGACCCACAGACACACACAGAGCCCCACAGACACACACAGAGACCCACAGACACACACAGAGACCCACAGACACACACAGAGACCCACAGACACACACAGAGACCCACAGAGACCCACAGACACACACAAACACACACAGACACACACAGAGACCCACAGACACACACAGAGACCCACATACACACACAGAGACTCACAGACACACACAGAGACCTACAGACACACACAGAGACCCACAGACACACACAGAGATCCACAGACACACACAGAGACCCACAGACACACACAGAGATCTACAGACACACACAGAGACCCACAGACACACATAGAGATCCACAGACACACACAGAGACCCACAGACACACACAGAGACCCACAGACACACACAGAGACCCACAGAGACACAAAGATACACACAGAGACCCACAGACACACACAGAGACCCACAGACACACAGAGACCCACATACACACACAGACACACACAGAGACCCACAGACACACACAGAGACCCACATACACACACAGACACACACAGAGACCCACAGACACACACAGAGACCCACATACACACACAGAGACTCACAGACACACAGAGACTCACGGATACACAGAGACCCACAAACACACAGAGACCCACATACACACACAGACACACACAGAGACTCACAGACACACAGAGACCCACAGACACACAGAGAGACCCACAAACACACAGAGACTCACAGACACACACAGAGACCCACAAACACACACAGAGACTCACAGACACACACAGAGACACACAGACACACAAATAGGCCTACAGACACACACAGAGACACAGAGACCCACAGACACACACAGAGACCCACAGACTCACACAGACCCACAGACACACAGAGAGACCCACAAACACACAGAGACTCACAGACACACACAGAGACCCACAAACACACACAGAGACTCACAGACACACACAGAGACACACAGACACACAAATAGGCCTACAGACACACACAGAGACACAGAGACCCACAGACACACAGAGACCCACAGACACACACAGACACACACAGAGACCCACAGACACACACAGAGACCCACAGACACACACAAACCCACAGACACACACACAGACCCATAGACATACACAGAGACTCACAGACACACAGAGACCCACAGACACACACAGAGACCTACAGACACACACAGAGACCCACAGATACACACAGAGACCCACAGACACACGCAGAGACCCACAGAGACCCACAGAGACCCACAGACACACACAGAGAGCCACAGACACACACAGAGACCCACAGACACACACAGAGACACACAGAGACCCACAGAGACCCACAGACACACACAGAGACCCACAGACTCACGCAGAGACCCACAGACACACACAGAAACCCACAGACACACACAGAGAGCCACAGACACACACAGAGACCCACAGACACACACAGAGAGCCACAGACACACACAGAGACCCACAGACACACACAGAGACCCACAGACACACACAGAGACACACAGAGACCCACAGAGACCCACAGACACACACAGAGACTCACAGACACACACAGAGACACACAGAGACCCACAGAGAGCCACAGACACACACAGAGACCCACAGACACACACAGAGACACACAGAGACCCACAGAGACCCACAGACACACACAGAGACCCACAGACTCATACAGAGACCCACAGAGACCCACAGACACACACAAAGACACACAGACACACAAAGAGACCCAAAGACACACACAGACACACACAGAGACCCATAGACACACACAGAGACCCACAGACACACACAGAGACTCACAGACACACAGAGACCTACAGACACACACAGAGACCCACAAACACACACAGAGACCCACATACACACACAGAGACTCACAGACACACAGAGACCTACAGACACACACAGAGACCCACAAACACACACAGAGACCCACAGACTCACGCAAAGACCCACAGACACACACAGAGACCCACAGACACACACAGAGAGCCACAGACACACACAGAGACCCACAGACACACACAGAGACCCACAGACTCACACAGAGACCCACAGACACACACAGAGACCCAAAGACACACACAGACACACACAGAGACCCACAGACACACACAGAGACCCACAGACATGTCCCAGTGGCCACCGTACTGAACGTCCGTGATAAATCTTCAGATTTTTCCATATATGGGGGTGGGGGTGTGGGCGTGTCTATGTTAATGAACCGTGGGCATAACACACGGGGTGGGCGTGTCTATGTTAATGAAGCATGTGCTTGTTCAAAGAACTGTGGGCGTGTTTATGTTAATGAGCCGTCTACACCACGAATGGGTGGGGATGGGAGTGTGTTTATCAGACCACGTGCCCATCCAAGTGGAGGGATGTGGGCGTGTCTATGTTAATGAGCCGTACGCTCAACGGACGGAGTGGAGGTGGGCGTGTCTATGTTGAGCCGTGGGCATAACACACGGGGTGGGTGTGTCTATGTTAATGAGGCTCGTGCAAAGAACAGTGTGGGCGTGTTTATGTTAATGAACCGTCCACACCACGAACAGGGGGGGTAATGGGAGTGTCTGTTACTCAGATCATGTGCCCATACAAGTTGAGGGATGTGGGCGTGTCTATGTTAATGATCCGTACGCACAACGAACGGGGTGTGGGTGGGCGTGTCTATGTTAATGAGCAGCACGCTCAACAGACAGTGTTGGGGTATGGGCGTGTCTATGTTAATGAGACCCGCACATCGGACGGGGGTGAGGTATGGGCGTGTCTATGCCAATGAACCTCCCACACAATGACGGTGGGGTGGGCGTGTCTATGCCAATGAGCCGCGGCCATATAAGGAGCGTGTGGGCGGGGCCTTGTGCAAAGAGCGCCCAAGTCACGGGACGCCGTCTCCGAGTCACGTGACGCCGATTCCTCAACTGCTGGAGGTGAGGAACCAGGCTTAATAACGCTCTAACACTTTAACACATTAACACTAACAAACTAACACTATTAAACTAACACTCACTAACTAACACACTCTAACACACTAACACACTCGCTAACATTAACACTAACTAACTCGAGCACACTAACACACTGTAACACATTAACACATTAACACTAACAAACTAACACTAACTAACTAACACTCACTAACTAACACTCACTAACTAACACTAACAAACTAACACTCACTAACTAACACTAACTAACACTCACTAACTAACACACTCTAACACACTAACACACTCGCTAACATTAACACTAACTAACTCGAGCACACTAACACACTGTAACACACTAACATTAACAGTAACTAACTCACACTAACACACTCTAACACTAATTACGAGTCTATGGGTCTCTATGAGTGTCTATGGGTCTCTATGAGTGTCTATGTGTCTCTGAGTGTCTATGGGTCTCTATGAGTGTCTATGGGTCTCTATGAGTGTCTATGAGTGTCTATGGGTCTCTGAGTGTCTAGTGTCTATGAGTGTCTATGGGTCTCTATGAGTGTCTATGAGTGTCTATGGGTCTCTATGAGTGTCTTTGGGTCTCTATGAGTGTCTATGGGTCTCTATGAGTGTCTATGTGTCTCTGAGTGTCTATGGGTCTCTATGAGTGTCTATGGGTCTCTATGAGTGTCTATGGGTCTCTATGAGTGTCTATGAGTGTCTATGGGTCTCTGAGTGTCTAGTGTCTATGAGTGTCTATGGGTCTCTATGAGTGTCTATGGGTCTCTATGAGTGTCTATGTGTCTCTGTGAGTGTCTATGGGTCTCTATGAGTGTCTATGGGTCTCTGAGTGTCTATGGGTTTCTATGAGTTTCTATGTGTCTATGAGTGTCTATGGGTCTCTATTAGTGTCTATGTGTCTATGAGTGTCTATGGGTCTCTGTGAGTGTCTGTGTCTATGAGTGTCTATGGGTCTCTGAGTGTCTATGGGTCTCTATGAGTGTCTATGGGTCTCTATGAGTGTCTATGTGTCTCTGTGAGTGTCTATGTGTCTCTATGAGTGTCTATGAGTGTCTATGAGTGTCAGTGTCTATGGGTCTCTATGAGTGTCTATGGGTCTCTATGAGTGTCTATGTGTCTATGAGTGTCTATGTGTCTCTGAGTGTCTATGGGTCTCTGTGAGTGTCTATGTGTCTCTATGAGTGTATATGTGTCTCTGAGTGTCTATGTGTCTCTATGAGTGTCTATGGGTCTCTGTGAGTGTCTATGGTTCTCTGTGAGTGTCTATGTGTCTCTATGAGTGTCTATGTGTCTATGAGTGTCTATGGGTCTCTGTGAGTGTCTATGGGTCCCTATGAGTGTCTATGGGTCTCTATGAGTGTCTATGTGTCTCTATGAGTGTCTATGTGTCTCTATGAGTGTATATGGGTCTCTGAGTGTCTATGGGTCTCTGTGAGTGTCTATGTGTCTCTATGAGTGTCTATGGGTCTCTATGAGTGTCTATGGGTCTATGAGTGTCTATGGGTCTCTTTGAGTGTCTATGTGTCTATGGGTCTCTATGGGTGTCTATGAGTGTCTATGGGTCTCTGAGTGTCTATGGGTTTCTATGCGTGTCTATGGGTCTCTATGAGTGTCTATGTGTCTCTATGGGTCTCTATGAGTGTCTATGTATCTCTATGGGTCTCTATGGGTGTCTGTGTCTCTATGGGTCTCTATGAGTGTCTATGGGTCTCTTTGAGTGTCTATGTGTCTATGGGTCTCTATGGGTGTCTATGAGTGTCTATGGGTCTCTATGAGTGTATATGTGTCTCTATGGGTCTCTATGAGTGTCTATGGGTCTCTATGGGTCTCTATGGGTGTCTATGGGTCTCTGAGTGTCTATGGGTCTCTATTAGTGTCTATGGGTCTCTATGGGTCTCTATGAGTGTCTATGTGTCTATGAGTATCTTTGTGTCTCTATGAGTGTCTATGGGTCTATGAGTGTCTATGGGTCTCTATGAGTGTCTATGGGTCTCTATGAGTGTCTATGGGTGTCTATGAGTGTCTATGAGTGTCTATGGGTCTCTATGAGTGTCTATGGGTCTATGAGTGTCTATGGGTCTCTATGAGTGTCTAAGAGTGTCTATGAGTGTCTATGGGTCTCTATGGGTCTCTATGAGTGTCTATGGGTCTCTGAGTGTCTATGTGTCTATGGGTCTCTATGGGTGTCTATGGGTCTCTATGAGTGTCTATGTGTGTATGAGTGTCTATGGGTCTCTATTAGTGTCTGAGTGTCTATTGGTCTCTATGGGTCTCTGAGTGTCTATGGGTGTCTATGAGTGTCTATGGGTCTCTATGGGTCTCTATGAGTGTCTATGTGTCTCTATGGGTCTCTACGAGTGTCTCTGAGTGTCTATGGGTCTCTGTGAGTGTCTGTGTCTCTATGAGTGTCTATGGGTCTCTATGAGTGTCTATGGGTCTCTATGGGTGTCTATGGGTCTCTATGAGTGTCTATGTGTCTCTATGAGTGTCTATGGGTCTCTATGGGTCTCTATGAGTGTCTATGTGTCTATGAGTGTCTTTGTGTCTCTATGAGTGTCTATGGGTCTATGAGTATCTATGGGTCTCTATGAGTGTCTATGAGTGTCTATGGGTCTCTATGAGTGTCTATGAGTGTCTATGGGTCTCTATGAGTGTCTATGTGTCTATGGGTCTCTATGGGTGTCTATGGGTCTCTATGAGTGTCTATGGGTCTCTATGAGTGTCTATGGGTCTCTATGAGTGTCCATGGGTCTCTATGGGTCTCTATGAGTGTCTATGGGTCTCTATGAGTGTCCATGGGTCTCTATGGGTCTCTATGGGTGTGTATGGGTCTCTATGAGTGTCTATGGGTCTCTATGAGTGTCTATGAGTGTCTTTGTGTCTCTATGAGTGTCTAAGAGTGTCTATGAGTGTCTATGGGTCTCTATGGGTGTCTATGGGTCTCTGAGTGTCTATGGGTCTCTATGGGTCTCTATGGGTGTCTATGATGAGTGTCTATGTGTCTATGGGTCTGTATGGGTCTCTATGGGTCTCTATGAGTGTCTCTGAGTGTCTATGGGTCTCTGTGAGTGTCTGTGTCTCTATGAGTGTCTATGGGTCTCTACGAGTGTCTCTGAGTGTCTATGGGTCTCTGTGAGTGTCTATGTGTCTCTATGAGTGTCTATGGGTCTCTATGAGTGTCTATGGGTCTCTGGGTGTCTATGGGTCTCTATGAGTGTCTATGTGTCTCTATGAGTGTCTATGGGTCTCTATGGGTGTCTATGTGTCTCTATGAGTGTCTATGGGTCTCTATGGGTGTCTATGGGTCTCTATGAGTGTCTATGGGTCTCTATGAGTGTCTATGGGTCTCTATGAGTGTCCATGGGTCTCTATGGGTCTCTATGAGTGTCTATGTGTCTATGGGTCTCTATGAGTGTCCATGGGTCTCTATGGGTCTCTATGGGTGTGTATGGGTCTCTATGAGTGTCTATGGGTCTCTATGAGTGTCTAAGAGTGTCTATGAGTGTCTATGGGTCTCTATGGGTGTCTATGGGTCTCTGAGTGTCTATGGGTCTCTATGGGTCTCTATGAGTGTCTATGGGTCTCTGAGTGTCTATGGGTCTCTATGGGTGTCTATGATGAGTGTCTATGTGTCTATGGGTCTGTATGGGTCTCTATGGGTCTCTATGAGTGTCTATGGGTCTCTATGGGTCTCTACGAGTGTCTCTGAGTGTCTATGGGTCTCTGTGAGTGTCTGTGTCTCTATGAGTGTCTATGGGTCTCTATGAGTGTCTATGGGTCTCTGGGTGTCTATGGGTCTCTATGAGTGTCTATGTGTCTCTATGAGTGTCTATGGGTCTCTATGGGTGTCTATGTGTCTCTATGAGTGTCTATGGGTCTCTATGGGTGTCTATGGGTCTCTATGAGTGTCTATGGGTCTCTATGAGTGTCTATGGGTCTCTGAGTGTCCATGGGTCTCTATGGGTCTCTATGAGTGTCTATGTGTCTATGGGTCTCTATGAGTGTCCATGGGTCTCTATGGGTCTCTATGGGTGTGTATGGGTCTCTATGAGTGTCTATGGGTCTCTATGAGTGTCTAAGAGTGTCTATGAGTGTCTATGGGTCTCTATGGGTGTCTGAGTGTCTATGGGTCTCTATGGGTGTCTATGGGTCTGTTGCTGCTCGCTATGAACATTACTTGACCCGTGTAGCCCTCTGTTGAAGGCTACACGGGGGAGCTTTGTATCTGTGACAACGGGCGACGTTTCGGGCTACGGGCCTCGCTCCCCCTCCGTGAGCGGAGTGGTGCAGGCCCCGGTCACGTGACGGCCTGCACACGTGACCCCCCCCACGTGATTTAACCCCCCCCCCCACATCCTACACACCCCACGTGACCACCCCCCCACATCCTACCCACCCCACGTGGTTACGCCCCTCCACACCCCCCTACCCCACGTGATTAACCCCCCCCACATCCCCCCTTACCCACGTGACCCTCCCACACCCCCCCTACCCCATGTGATTAACCCCCCCCCACATCCCCCCTTACCCACGTGACCCTCCCACACCCCCCCTACCCCCCGTGATTAACCCCCCCCCACATCCCCCCTTACCCACGTGACCCTCCCACACCCCCCCTACCCCACGTGATTAACCCCCCCCACATCCCCCCCCCCACGTGACCCTCCCACATCCTCCCCACCCCACGTGATCACCCCCCTCCTCCACACCCCCCTACCCACGTGACCACCCCCACATCCCCCCACCCCACGTGATTAATCCCTCACTCCCTCACCTTCCCCGCCCCCACGTGACTCCCCCCCCCACATGTCCCACCCCCCCCCCCCACGTGACCTCACCCCCCACGTGACCTCACCCCCCACGTGACCCCCCTGCGCTGTGCCCAGGTTGTGTCCACGAAGCCGAGCGGCCAGCGACCAGCAGCACAGCAGCCCCCCACGGTGATTCACTCACACCACGTGTCACACCACGTGTCACACCACGTGTCACACCACGTGTCACACCGCGTGTCACACCGCGTGTCACACCACGTGTCACACCACGTGTCACACCGCGTGTCACACCACGTGTCACACCACGTGTCACACCACGTGTCTCTCACACCACGTGTCACACCACGTGTCTCTCACACCACGTGTCACACCGCGTATCACACCGCGTGTCACACCACGTGTCACTCACACCACGTGTCACACCACGTGTCACACCGCGTGTCACACCGCGTGTCACACCACGTGTCACACCACGTGTCACACCACGTGTCACACCGCGTGTCACACCACGTGTCACACCGCGTGTCACACCGCGTGTCACACCACGTGTCACACCGCGTGTCACACCGCGTGTCAAACCGCGTGTCACACCGCGTGTCACACCGCGTGTCACACCACGTGTCACACCACGTGTCACACCACGTGTCACACCGCGTGTCACACCACGTGTCACACCACGTGTCACACCACGTGTCACACCACGTGTCTCTCACACCACGTGTCACACCGCGTGTCACACCACGTGTCACACCACGTGTCACACCACGTGTCACACCACGTGTCTCTCACACCACGTGTCACACCGCGTGTCACACCACGTGTCACACCACGTGTCACACCACGTGTCACACCGCGTATCACACCACGTCTCACACCGCGTGTCTCACACCACGTGTCACACCACGTGTCACACCACGTGTCACACCGCGTGTCTCACCGCGTGTCACACCGCGTGTCACACCGCGTGTCACACCGCGTGTCACACCACGTGTCACACCGCGTGTCACACCGCGTGTCACACCGCGTGTCACACCACGTGTCACACCACGTGTCTCACCGCGTGTCACACCACGTGTCACACCACGTGTCACACCGCGTGTCACACCGCGTGTCTCACACCACGTGTCACACCGCGTGTCACACCACGTGTCTCACCGCGTGTCACACCACGTGTCACACCGCGTGTCACACCACGTGTCTCACCGCGTGTCACACCACGTGTCACACCACGTGTCACACCACGTGTCACACCGCGTGTCTCACCGCGTGTCTCACCGCGTGTCACACCACGTGTCACACCACGTGTCACACCACGTGTCACACCGCGTGTCACACCACGTGTCTCACCGCGTGTCACACCACGTGTCTCACCACGTGTCACACCACGTGTCTCACCGCGTGTCACACCACGTGTCACACCACGTGTCACACCGCGTGTCACACCGCGTGTCACACCACGTGTCACACCGCGTGTCACACCACGTGTCTCACCACGTGTCACACCGCGTGTCACACCACGTGTCACACCGCGTGTCTCACACCACGTGTCACACCGCGTGTCTCACACCACGTGTCACACCGCGTGTCACACCACGTGTCACACCGCGTGTCACACCACGTGTCTCACCGCGTGTCTCACCGCGTGTCACACCGCGTGTCACACCGCGTGTCACACCACGTGTCTCACCGCGTGTCACACCACGTGTCACACCACGTGTCACACCACGTGTCACACCGCGTGTCACACCGCGTGTCTCACACCACGTGTCACACCACGTGTCACACCGCGTGTCACACCACGTGTCACACCGCGTGTCACACCACGTGTCACACCGCGTGTCTCACCGCGTGTCACACCACGTGTCACACCGCGTGTCACACCACGTGTCTCTCTCTCACACCACGTGTCTCTCTCTCACACCACGTGTCTCACACACCACGTGTCTCTCACACCACGTGTCTCACACACCACGTGTCTCACACACCACGTGTCTCTCTCACACACCACGTGTCTCTCTCACACACCACGTGTCTCTCTCTCACACCACGTGTCTCACACACCACGTGTCTCTCACACCACGTGTCTCACACACCACGTGTCTCACACACCACGTGTCTCTCTCACACACCACGTGTCTCTCTCTCACACCACGTGTCTCTCTCTCACACCACGTGTCTCTCTCTCACACCACCTTGACTCACACACCACGTGTCTCACACACCACGTGTCTCACACACCACGTGTCTCTCTCACACACCACGTGTCTCTCTCACACACCACGTGTCTCTCTCACACACCACGTGTCTCACACACCACGTGTCTCACACACCACGTGTCTCACACACCACGTGTCTCACACACCACGTGTCTCACACACCACGTGTCTCACACACCACGTGTCTCACACACCACGTGTCTCACACACCACGTGTCTCACACACCACGTGTCTCACCCACCACGTGTCTCACACCACGTGTCTCACACCACGTGTCTCACCCACCACGTGTCTCACTCACCACGTGTCTCACTCACCACGTGTCTCTCTCACACACCACGTCTCACACACACCACGTGTCTCACTCACCACGTGTCACTCTCACCACGTGTCACTCTCACCACGTGTCTCACACCACGTGTCTCACACCACGTGTCTCACACACCACGTGTCTCTCACACCACGTGTCTCTCACACCACGTGTCTCACACACCACGTGTCTCTCTCACACACCACGTGTCTCTCACACCACGTGTCTCACACACCACGTGTCTCTCACACCACGTGTCTCACACACCACGTGTCTCTCACACCACGTGTCTCTCTCTCACACCACGTGTCTCTCACACCACGTGTCTCTCACACCACGTGTCTCTCACACCACGTGTCTCTCACACCACATGTCTCTATCATACACCACGTGTCTCTCACGCCACGTGTCTCACACACCACGTGTCTCTCTCTCACACCACGTGTCTCTCACACACCACGTGTCTCTCACACCACGTGTCTCTCACGCCACGTGTCTCTCACACCACGTGTCTCTCACACACCACGTGTCTCTCTCACACACCACGTGTCTCTCACACCACGTGTCTCTCAGGCCACGTGTCTCTCACACCACGTGTCTCTCACACCACGTGTCTCTCACGCCACGTGTCTCACACACCACGTGTCTCTCTCTCACACCACGTGTCTCTCACACCACGTGTCTCTCACACACCACGTGTCTCTCACACCACGTGTCTCTCAGGCCACGTGTCTCTCACACCACGTGTCTCTCACACCACGTGTCTCTCACACCACGTGTCTCTCACACCACGTGTCTCTCTCACACACCACGTGTCTCTCTCTCACACCACGTGTCTCTCACACACCACGTGTCTCTCACACCACGTGTCTCTCACGCCACGTGTCTCTCACACCACGTGTCTCTCACACCACGTGTCTCTCTCACACACCACGTGTCTCTCTCACACACCACGTGTCTCTCTCACACACCACGTGTCTCTCTCTCACACCACGTGTCTCTCTCACACACCACGTGTCTCTCACACCACGTGTCTCACCACGTGTCTCACACACCACGTGTCTCTCACACCACGTGTCTCTCTCACACACCACGTGTCTCACACACCACGTGTCTCTCAGGCCACGTGTCTCTCACACCACGTGTCTCTCACACCACGTGTCTCTCACGCCACGTGTCTCACACACCACGTGTCTCTCTCTCACACCACGTGTCTCTCTCTCACACCACGTGTCTCTCTCTCACGCCACGTGTCTCACACACCACGTGTCTCTCTCTCACACCACGTGTCTCTCACACCACGTGTCTCTCTCACACACCACGTGTCTCTCACACCACGTGTCTCTCTCACACCACGTGTCTCTCTCTCACACCACGTGTCTCTCACACCACGTGTCTCTCTCACACACCACGTGTCTCTCACACCACGTGTCTCTCACACCACGTGTCTCACACGCCACGTGTCTCACACACCACGTGTCTCTCTCTCACACCACGTGTCTCTCTCACACACCACGTGTCTCTCTCTCACACCACGTGTCTCTCTCACACCACGTGTCTCTCTCACACCACGTGTCTCTCTCTCACACCACGTGTCTCACACACACACCACGTGTCTCTCTCACACACCACGTGTCTCTCTCACACCACGTGTCTCTCACACACCACGTGTCTCTCTCACACACCACGTGTCTCTCTCACACACCACGTGTCTCTCTCACACCACGTGTCTCTCTCACCACGCGTCTCTCACACCACGTGTCTCTCACACCACGTGTCTCTCACACCACGTGTCTCACACACCACGTGTCTCTCTCACACACCACGTGTCTCTCTCACACACCACGTGTCTCTCTCACACACCACGTGTCTCTCTCACACACCACGTGTCTCTCTCACACCACGTGTCTCTCTCACACCACGTGTCTCTCTGACCACGCGTCTCACACACCACGTGTCTCTCTCACACACCACGTGTCTCTCTCACACCACGTGTCTCTCTCACACCACGTGTCTCTCTGACCACGCGTCTCACACACCACGTGTCTCTCTCACACACCACGTGTCTCTCTCACACACCACGTGTCTCTCTCTCACACCACGTGTCTCTCTCTCACACCACGTGTCTCACACACCACGTGTCTCACACACCACGTGTCTCACACACCACGTGTCTCTCACACCACGTGTCTCTCACACACCACGTGTCTCTCACACACCACGTGTCTCTCTCACACACCACGTGTCTCTCTCACACACCACGTGTCTCTCACACCACGTGTCTCACACACCACGTGTCTCTCACACACCACGTGTCTCTCTCTCACACCACGTGTCTCTCACACACCACGTGTCTCTCTCACTCACCACGTGTCTCTCACACCACGTGTCTCACACACCACGTGTCTCACACACCACGTGTCTCTCACACCACGTGTCTCTCACACCACGTGTCTCACACACACCACCTGTCTCACACACCACGTGTCTCTCTCACTCACCACGTGTCTCTCACACCACGTGTCTCTCACACCACGTGTCTCTCACACCACGTGTCTCACACACCACGTGTCTCTCACACCACGTGTCTCTCACACCACGTGTCTCTCACACACCACGTGTCTCTCTCTCACACCACGTGTCTCACACACCACGTGTCTCTCTCACACACCACGTGTCTCTCACACACCACGTGTCTCTCACACCACGTGTCTCACACACCACGTGTCTCTCTCTCACACCACGTGTCTCTCTCACCACGTGTCTCTCACACCACGTGTCTCACACACCACGCGTCTCACACACCACGTGTCTCTCACACCACGTGTCTCTCACACCACGTGTCTCTCACACCACGTGTCTCACACACCACGTGTCTCTCTCACACCACGTGTCTCTCTCACACCACGTGTCTCTCTCACACCACGTGTCTCTCTCACACACCACGTGTCTCTCTCACACACCACGTGTCTCTCTCACACACCACGTGTCTCTCTCACACCACGTGTCTCTCACACCACGTGTGTCTCACACCACGTGTCTCTCACACCACGTGTCTCTCTCACACACCACGTGTCTCACACACCACGTGTCTCTCACACCACGTGTCTCTCTCTCACACCACGTGTCTCTCACACCACGTGTCACACACCACCTGTCTCTCACACCACGTGTCTCTCACACCACGTGTCTCTCACACACCACGTGTCTCTCACACCACGTGTCTCTCACACCACATGTCTCTCTCACACACCACGTGTCTCTCACACCACGTGTCTCTCACACCACGTGTCTCTCACACCACGTGTCTCTCACACCACGTGTCTCTCACACCACGTGTCTCTCTCTCACACCACGTGTCTCTCACACCACGTGTCTCTCTCTCACACCACGTGTCTCTCTCTCACACCACGTGTCTCTCTCACACACCACGTGTCTCACACACACCACGTGTCTCACACACCACGTGTGTCTCACACCACGTGTCTCTCTCACACACCACGTGTCTCTCTCACACACCACGTGTCTCACACACACCACGTGTCTCTCTCACACACCACGTGTCTCACACACCACGTGTCTCTCTCACACACCACGTGTCTCTCTCACACACCACGTGTCTCTCACACCACGTGTCTCACCACGTGTCTCTGTGTGTGTCTCTCTGTGTCTCTGTGTGTGTCTCACTGTGTGTCTTTGTGTGTATTTGCGTGTCTTATCTCTGTGTGTCTCTCTGTGTCTTTGTGTGTGTCTCTCTGTGTGTGTCTCTGTGTGTGTCTCTCTGTGTCTCTGTGTGTGTCTCACTGTGTGTGTGTCTTTGTGTGTGTCTCTCTGTGTGTGGCTCACACACAGAGAGACACACACACAGTGTCTCTCTGTGTGTGTGTCTCTGTGTCTCTCTGTGTGTGTCTCTCTGTGTGTGTCTCACTTTGTGTCTCTGTGTGTGTCTCTCTGTGTGTGTGTCTCTGTGTCTCTCTGTGTGTGTCTCTGTGTGTGTCTCACCGTGTGTGTTTTTGTGTGTGTCTCTGTGTGTCTCTCTCTCTGTGTGTCTCTCTGTGTCTCTGTGTGTGTTTCACTGTGTGTGTGTCTCTGTGTGTCTCTCTGTGTCTCACTGTGTGTGTCTTTGTGTGTGTCTCTCTGTGTCTCTGTGTGTGTCTCACTGTGTTTGTGGCTCTGTGTGTCTCTCTCTGTGTCTCTGTGTGTCTCACTGTGTGTCTCTCTCTCTCTGTGTCTCTCTCTCTGTGTCTCCCTGTGTCTCTGTGTGTCTCTCTGTGTGTGTGTCTTTGTGTGTGTCTCTCTGTGTCTCTGTGTGTGTCTCTCTGTGTGTCTCTCTGTGTGTCTCTCTGTGTGTCTGTCTTTGTGTTTGTCTTTGTGTGTGTCTCTCTGTGTCTCTGAGTGTGTCTCTCTCTGTGTCTCTGTGTGTGTGTGTGTGTGTCTCTCTCTGTGTGTGTGTTTCTGTGTGTCTCTCTCTGTGTGTCTCTCTCTCTGTGTGTGTCTCTCTCTGTGTGTGTCTCTCTGTGTGTCTTTCTGTCTCTCTCCCCGTGTCTCTCTCCCCGTGTTTCTCTCTGTCTCTCTCCCCGTGTCTCTCTCTCTCCCCGTGTCTCTCTCCCCCCGTGTCTCTCTCCCCGTGTCTCTCTCTCTCCCCGTGTCTCTCTCCCCGTGTCTCTCCCCGTGTCTCTCTCTCTCCCCGTGTCTCTCTCCCCGTGTCTCTCCCCGTGTCTCTCTCCCCCCGTGTCTCTCTCTCCCCCCATGTCTCTCTCTCCCCGTGTCTCTCCCCCCGTCTCTCTCTCTCCCCGTGTCTCTCCCCCCGTCTCTCTCTCTCCCCGTGTGTGTCCCCGTGTCTCTCTCTCCCCGTGTCTCTCCCCGTGTCTCTCCCCGCGTCTCTCCCCCTGTGTCTCTCTCTCGTGTCTCTTTCCTCGTGTCTCTCTCCCCGTGTCTCTCTCTCACCGTCTCTCTCTCACCGTCTCTCTCTCCCCGTGTCTCTCTCTCCCCGTGTCTCTCTCTCACCATGCCTCTCATCGTGTCTCTCTCCTCGTGTCTCTCCCCGTGTCTCTCTCTCCCCATGTCTCTCTCTCTGTGTCTCTCTCTCTGTGTCTCTCGCCATGTCTCTTTCTCTCCCCGTGTCTCTCCCCGTGTCTCTCTCTCCCCGTGTCTCTCCCCGTGTCTCTCTCTCCCCGTGTCTCTCCCCGTTTCTCTCTCTCCCTGTGTCTCTTTCTCTCCCCGTGTCTCTCCCCGTGTCTCTCTCCCCGTGTCTCTTTCTCTCCCCGTGTCCCTCTCCCCGTGTCTCTCTCTCTCTGTGTCTCTCCCCGTGTCTCTCTCTCCCCGTGTCTCTCCCCCCGTGTCTCTATCTCACCGTGTCTCTCTCTCCCCCAGTGTCTCTCTCTCCCCCCGTGTCTCTCTCTCCCCCCGTGTCTCTCTCCCCCCGTGTCTCTCTCCCCCCGTGTCTCTTTCTCTCCCCGTGTCTCCCACCGTGTCTCTATCTCACCGTGTCTCTATCTCACCGTCTATCTCCCCGTGTCTCTCTCTGTGTCTCTCCCCGTGTCTCTCTGTGTCTCTCCCCGTGTCTCTCTCTTCCCGTGTCTCTCTCTCCCCGTGTCTCTCTCTCCCCGTGTCTCTCTCTCCCCGTGTCTCTCTCTCTCCCCGTGTCTCTCTCTCTCTCACCGTGTCTCTCTCTCACCCAGCCGTGTCTCTCTCTCCCCGTGTCTCTCCCCGTGTCTCTCTCTCACCCAGCCGTGTCTCTCTCTCCCCGTGTCTCTCCCCGTGTCTCTACCCCCCGTTTCGCTCTCCCCGTGTCTCTCTCTCTCACCGTGTCTCTCTCCCCCCCGTGTCTCTCTCTCACCCAGCCGTATCTCTCTCCCCCCCGTGTCTCTCTCTCCCCCCGTGTCTCTCTCTCACCCAGCCGTGTCTCTCTCCCCCCACGTGTCTCTCTCTCCCCGTGTCTCTCACCGTGTCTCTCTCTCCCCATGTGTCTCTCTCACCGTGTCTCTCTCTCTCACGCAGCCGTGTCTCTCTCTCCCCGTGTCTCTCACCATGTCTCTCTCTCTCTCTCCCCGTGTCTCTCTCCCCGTGTCTCTCTCTCACCCAGCCGTGTCTCTCTCTCCCCGTGTCTCTCTCCCCGTGTCTCTCTCTCACCCAGCCGTGTCTCTCTCCCCCCACGTGTCTCTCTCTCCCCGTCTCTCTCCCCGTGTCTCTCCCCATGTCTCTCTCTCTCCCCGTGTCTCTCCCCGTGTCTCTCTCTCAGACCCAGCCATGTCTCTCTCTCTCCCCGTGTCTCTCTCTCCCCGTGTCTCTCTCTCCCCGTGTCTCTCCCCGTGTCTCTCCCCGTGCCTCTCTCACCGTGTCTCTATCTCTCTCTCAGACCCAGCCGTGTCTCTCTCTCTCCCCCCCGTGTCTCTCTCTCACCGTGTCTCTCTCTCTCTCCCCGTGTCTCTCCCCGTGTCTCTCTCTCACACCACATGTCTCTCACACCACGTGTCTCTCTCTCTCTCAGACCCAGCTGTGTCTCTCCCCCCCGTGTCTCTCCCCCCCGTGTCTCTCTCTCTCTCAGACCCAGCCGTGTCTCTCTCTCTCCCCCCCGTGTCTCTCTCTCTCCCCCCCGTGTCTCTCTCTCTCACCGTGTTTCTCTCTCTCCCCCCTTGTCTCTCTCCCCATGTCTCTCTCTCTCCCCGTGTCTCCCCCCGTGTCTCTCTCACCGTGTCTCTCTCTCCCCGTGTCTCTCTCACCGTCTCTCTCTCTCCCCGTGTCTCTCTCTCACCGTGTCTCTCTCTCTCAGACCCAGCCGTGTCTCTCTCTCTCCCCCCCGTGTCTCTCTCTCTCCCCGTGTCTCTCTCTCTCCCCCCCGTGTCTCTCTCACCGTGTCTCTCTCTCTCTCCCCGTGTCTCTCTCTCTCACCGTGTCTCTCTCTCTCCCCGTATCTCTCTCTCACCGTGTCTCTCTCTCTCTCCCCGTGTCTCTCTCTCTCCCCCCCGTGTCTCTCTCACCGTGTCTCTCTCTCTCTCCCCGTGTCTCTCTCCCCCCCGTGTCTCTCCCCCCCGTGTCTCTCTCACCGTGTCTCTCTCTCCCCGTGTCTCTCTCTCAGACCCAGCCGTGTCTCCGCCGAGACGTCACCACCATGCGTCTCGTCATCCTGGACAACTACGATGCAGCGAGCCTTTGGGCCGCCAAGTACATCCGCAACCGCATACTGCAGTTCCAGCCGGGACCGGGGAGACATTTCACCCTGGGCCTCCCCACCGGTGAGCCACACGACGGCCGGGGGTTTACCTTTCTCGGCCGCCTTTGTCTCTCCCACCCACCCCCCCCCCAGCCGGTGATACGGAGACAAAAGCTGCCCCAGGTAGAACCCCCCAAACAGACAGCAATGGGCTGTAAGGGGCAAGTGCTGTTAGCGAGCAGCAGCAGCAGCAGCTAGCTGTGAAGTCTAAACACACACACACACAGTGGGGGTGGTGGCCAGAACCACCACCGCCACCGCCACCACGCCCGGCCGCCTTTGTCTCTCCCCCAGTGCTGGCGATGTTCGCTACACCGCCACACGCGGAACCAGGTACTCATTTGAGGCCGAGTCGACCTAGGGGAGGCCCGGGACCGGTTCAGATGATCGTGACCGGTGGTGTTGGCCGTGAGCGGGAATCGAACCCGGGTCGCCGGGTTCATAGCGCAGCGTAGCGCTAACCGCTACACTATCACGTACACACACAGAGACACACACACAGTGACACACACACAGTGACACACACAACAACAACAACCGCCATTCGCCACTAAGTGGCGGTGACGTCACCACGACGCTTGTGCCAGGCTATGTGCACCCTGAGGCCACGTGAAGTGTCGAATGCCCGCTGGCAGGAGGTCACGGGGCAGACCCAGGTGCCACGGGTCGACTGACTGAGATGACTGGCTGATGCACCACCTGTGCCCCCTACTGTGCCCAGCTGCTGTGCTTTAGCCACCCGGCGCTCCGCTCGTTGTTCTGAGCGTCGCTCCTCCGCCCTCCGTTGTTGTTGGAGGGCGACTGCCTCCAACTGCCCAGTAGCGTCCTTCACGAGCCTCCTCCACAGAAGCCGATCTTGACACCGCTGGTACCAGTCATCGGCAAGTCCACTCAGCTCCACGTCCTCCTGTACCACATCACTCCATCTGTCCTCTAGCCCGTGCCGCGTCCGCTTAGCCCCCTCAATCCGGCCGAACAAAAGCTGTTTCGGCATGCGGTGGCTGGGCATGCGGGCTACATGACCCAGCCATCGCAGCCTTGCCCGCCGGAGGAGCTCTCCGATGGGACCTTGCCCAGATCTTTCAAGGATTTGTGAGCTCCTCACACAATCCAGTCTGGTTAAACCCAGGATGGATCGTAGGCAGGGCAGCCTAAATGTTTCTAACCGGCGAAGATGTTCCATTAGGGGGGTCCACGTTTCGCAAGCGTAGAGCAGGGAGGGAATGACCGTGGCCGAGAAGACCTGAAGCTTCGTGCGGAGCGACAGACCAGGTAGCTTCCACACAGCGTTACGCAACTGATGAAAAGATATTGCCGCTCGACTGATTCGGAGTGAGACCTCTGCTGTTAAACTGGAGCCAGTCATAAGCACACTGCCCAGGTATGGGAAACTCTCCACTCTCTCCACAACTGCCCCATCACCGATTGGGAGTTGTGGGGGTGGAGTGTCCGATGGTACAAAATACCCAGGCAGGTGCTTAGTTTTGGTGGGGCTGATGGTAAGGCCCCATCTCTTAGTGGCACGCTCCAGTCTCAGCAGCAGCGTCTCCAACTCCTCCTCTGAATGAGCAGCTATTACCAAATCATCAGCATACATAACGTGGTTGAGCAATAGGGAGCCATCCCTTGACCGCACTCGGGCATCGATCAGCCTCCCATTATATCTGTACCATATGGAGATTCCCCCGGTACAGCTATTGAAGGCTTCACGAACTACGTGGTCAAAATAGATGTTAAATAATGTGGGAGCCAGAGGACATCCCTGTCGCACCCCAAGGTGTACAGGGAATGGCTCTGACTCCCGGCCACGTAGTTTTACCGGAGCCCGCTCACTATCATGAAGGTCCTTAATGATCGTGAGCAGAGGGTCAGGTACTCCAAAAGCACGAAGAACAACCCAGAGCCCAGGCCTACTGATGGTATCATAGGCCTTGACCAGGTCAATAAAGCAGAGATGTAGGTCTTGTTGGAATTCCCTACACCTCTGCTGTAGCAGACGGACAGAAAATATGGCATCAGTGCAGGACCGCCCTTTCCTGAAACCGCATTGGGGCTCCACAAGCCTCTCCTCAGTGTGCCTGGCAAGGCGATGTTGAATAATCCTTGCCAGGACCTTTCCCGGCACACTGAGGAGTGAGATGCCCCTGTAGTTGTTACAGTCTGTGCGGTCCCCCTTCTTAAAGAGGGGGACCACCAGGGCATCCTTTCAATCCTGCGGAACCCGTCCAGTGGTCCAGACTGTTGTTATGATGTCACGTAGGGCAGTCTGTGCACAAACGCCACCCTCCCTCAGCATTTCGCTTGGGAGATCATCTCTGCCCGCTGCCTTTCCTGGTCTCAGACTCCGGATTGCCTTTAGTACTTCCTCAACAGATGGCACCTCAGCCAGCCACTCACAGGGGGTGACTTCTTCTTCCAATATTTGAGGCACCGCAGCCTCAGCAGGGTTATCCTGACTTTGTGCCACGATGTTTTCCTTGCTGAGGGGTTTTCCCTCTCCCAGGACCTCACAGAAATGCTCAGCAAATCTGCAAACCTGTTCCTGGGGGTCGGAGATTGGGTCACCGTTTTTTCCCCTAATGATGGTAATAGGTGTGGCGCTGCAGATTACTTTTTTGATGGAGTTAAATAGAGATTTGTGATCACGGCCCACTGAGGCAGACTCCATCTCCTCAGCAACCCGCGACCACCACCCATCGTTGCAGCGCCTCACGGCTCTCCGAACCTCTGGGGAGGTCTGGACCACGTACCCAAAGCAGCCATTGCAGCTGCATGAGTCACAGTCCTAAACCTCGCACATTTACCCTCGACATCAGGAGGAGTCGGGGACGATGCCAATCCCAGCCGCAAGCGATGATGAAATTCTCGCTTGCAAATTTCATCAGATAACTGAGACCAGGCCACTTTAGGTTGGAATGGGGTCCTGGGTGTACACCCACCACCGGAGTGGAAGAATGGCAGGCGCATCTTACAGATGACTAGTCGATGGTTAGAGGGCAGATCAGCTCCACGGTAGGTCCTGGTGTCAAGGACATGGGCTCGCATCCGCTGGTCCGTCACTATGTAGTCCAGCAGATATTCTTGCTTGTACCCGGCATGCATCCATGATGTTGTGTGGGTGCGCTGATGCCGGAACAGCGTGTTGGTAATTACAAGCCCATGGGCTGCACAAAAATCTAGCAGCCTCCTACCGTTGTTATTGAGCTGATCTGGCCCATGCCCTCCAATCACTCCAGACCAGGTGCCAGTATCATGACCAACTCGGGCATTGAAGTCACCCAACAAGATGACTCTATCCCGAGGGGCCACTTTAGCCAGCACCTGTGACAGGAGGTCATAGAAGGCATCTGACTCATCGGCTTTGCCTGCATCCCTCCACGGATGTTCATCTTCGGTGGGGGCATAAGTAACCACGACCACCATTCCTCGCCTCCGGTTGATGGGAAGGCGAGCTCAAAGTAGCCTGGGGCTTACAGCTTCCCACACCTCACCGCCACGCTCCCACGCCCCCTTCATTCTTTTGTTCAAAAGAAGAGCCACACCCTGTTGTTTGGCAGTCTGCTGCCCCGAGTAGAGGACTGTCCACCCCTCATGGTGGCAGGAGCCAGAGCCGGTCCACCGGACCTCCTGAATGCCACATAGATCCAGGCGGTACCGGTCCAGCTCCCGACAGAGGAGTGGCAGCCTCTCCTCCGCAGTGAGCATTCGAACATTCCACGTGGCCACCCGTAGTGGCTTTTCGTTGTTTCTGGAGGAGCCCCGAGGGTAGATATTCAATCTCCTGGCTCCGCCAATTGGGGTTTGGCCAGGAGACGTCATAGACGCCTGGCCCCCCGGGGCCTCCGGCACAAGCTTATTAGTTATATACTTAATTCGCGGTTTAGTGGTAATTGATTGAAGGTGGAGGGGTTACCAGCCCCTCGCACCTGTCCAGAGCCCCCGTTTAGCCCCTGTGGTGGTCACAGACGCCATGAGGGGAGGATCCAATCAAAATTGGATCTCCCCCCACAGCACTGTCCACGACAGAGTTGCCTGTCCGGCACCGCGAGGAGGTAGTGACACACACACAGTGACACACACACACAGTGACACACACACAGTGACACACACACACAGTGACACACACACAGTGACACACACAGTGACACACACACACAGTGACACACACAGTGACACACAGAGTGACACACACAGTGACACACACACAGTGACACACACACAGTGACACACACACAGTGACACACACACAGTGACACACACAGTGACACACACACACACACAGTGACACACACACAGTGACACACACACAGTGACACACACACACACAGTGACACACACACACACAGTGACACACACAGTGACACACACACACAGTGACACACACAGTGACACACACACACAGTGACACACAGTGACACACACACAGTGACACACACACACAGTGACACACACACAGTGACACACACACAGTGACACACACAGTGACACACACAGTGACACACACACACAGTGACACACACAGTGACACACACACAGTGACACACACACAGTGACACACACACACACACAGTGACACACACACACACAGTGACACACACACAGTGACACACACACACACAGTGACACACACACACAGTGACACACACACACACAGTGACACACACACAGTGACACACACACAGTGACACACACACAGTGACACACACACAGTGACACACACACACAGTGACACACACAGTGACACACACACACAGTGACACACACAGTGACACACACACACAGTGACACACACACACACACAGTGACACACACACACACACACAGTGACACACACACACAGTGACACACACACACAGTGACACACACACACAGTGACACACACACAGTGACACACACACACAGTGACACACACACACACAGTGACACACACACACACAGTGACACACACACAGTGACACACACAGTGACACACACACAGTGACACACACAATGACACACACACACACAGTGACACAAACACAGTGACACACACACACACACAGTGACAACAACAACAACAACCGCCATTCGCCACTAAGTGGCGGTGACGTCACCACGACGCTTGTGCCAGGCTATGTGCACCCTGAGGCCACGTGAAGTGTCGAACGCCCGCTGGCAGGAGGTCACGGGGCAGACCCAGGTGCCACGGGTCGACTGACTGAGATGACTGGCTGATGCACCACCTGTCCCCCTACTGTGCCAACCTGCTGTGCTTTAGCCACCCGGCGCTCCGCTCGCTGTTGTGAGCGTCGCTCCTCCGCCCTCCGTTGTTGTTGGAGGGCGACTGCCTCCAACTGCCCAGTAGCATCCTTCACGAGCCTCCTCCACAGAGGCCGATCTTGACACCGCTGGTACCAGTCATCGGCAAGTCCACTCAGCTCCACGTCCTCCTGTACCACATCACTCCATCTCTTCTCTAGCCCGTGCCGCGCCCGCTTAGCCCCCTCAATCCGGCCAAACAAAAGCTGTTTCGGCATGCGGTGGCTGGGCATGCGGGCTACATGACCCAGCCATCGCAGCCTTGCCTGCCGGAGGAGCTCACCGATGGGACCCTGCCCAGATCTTTCAAGGATTTGTGAGCTCCTCACACAATCCAGTCTGTTTAAACCCAGGATGGATCGTAGGCAGGCCAGCCTAAATGTTTCTAACCGGCGAAGATGTTCCATTAGGGGGGTCCACGTTTCGCAAGCGTAGAGAAGGGAGGGAATGACCGTGGCCGAGAAGACCTGAAGCTTAGTGCGGAGCGACAGACCAGGTAGCTTCCACACAGCGTTACGCAACCGATGAAAAGATATTGCCGCTCGACTGATTCGGAGTGAGACCTCTGCTGTTAAACTGGAGCCAGTCATAAGCACACTGCCCAGGTATGGGAAACTCTCCACTCTCTCTACAACTGCCCCATCACCGATTGGGAGTTGTGGGGGTGGAGTGTCCGATGGTACAAAACACCCAGGCAGGTGCTTAGTTTTGGTGGGGCTGATGGTAAGGCCCCACCTCTTAGTGGCACGCTCCAGTCTCAGCAGCAGCGTCTCCAACTCCTCCTCTGACTGAGCAGCTATTACCAAATCATCAGCATACATAACGTGGTTGAGCAATAGGGAGCCATCCCTTGACCGCACCCGGGCATCGATTAGCCTCCCATTATATCTGTACCATATGGAGATTCCCCCGGTACAGCTATTGAAGGCTTCACGAACTACGTGGTCAAAATAGATGTTAAATAATGTGGGAGCCAGAGGACATCCCTGTCGCACCCCAAGGTGTACAGGGAATGGCTCTGACTCCCGGCCACGTAGTTTTACCCGGGCCCGCTCACCATCATGAAGGTCCTTAATGATCGTGAGCAGAGGGTCAGGTACTCCAAAAGCACGAAGAACGACCCAGAGCCCAGGCCTACTGATGGTATCATAGGCCTTGACCAGGTCAATAAAGCAGAGATGTAGGTCTTGTTGGAATTCCCTACACCTCTGCTGTAGCAGACGGACAGAAAATATGGCATCTGTGCAGGACCGCCCTTTCCTGAAACCGCATTGGGGCTCCGCAAGCCTCTCCTCAGCGTGCCTGGCAAGGCGATGCTGAATAATCCTTGCCAGGACCTTTCCCGGCACACTGAGGAGTGAGATGCCCCTGTAGTTGTTACAGTCTGTGCGGTCCCCCTTCTTAAAAACGGGGACCACCAGGGCATCCTTCCAATCCTGCGGAACCCGTCCAGTGGTCCAGACTGTTGTTATGATGTCATATAGGGCAGTCTGTGCACAAACGCCACCCTCCCTCAGCATTTCGCTTGGGAGATCATCTCTGCCCGCTGCCTTTCCTGGTCTCAGACTCCGGATCGCCTTCAATACTTCCTCAGCAGATGGCACCTCAGCCAGCCACTCACAGGGGGTGACTTCATCCAATATTTGAGGCACCGCAGCCTCAGCAGGGTCATCCTCACTTTGTGCCACGATGTTTTCCTGGCTGAGGGATTTTCCCTCCCCCAGGACCTCACAGAAATGCTCAGCAAATCTGCGAACCTGTTCCTGGGGGTCAGAAATTGGATCACCGTTTTTTCCCCTAATGATGGTAATAGGTGTGGCGCTGCAGGTTACTTTTTTGATGGAGTTAAATAGAGATTTGTGATCACGGGCCACTGAGGCAGACTCCATCTCCTCAGCAACCCGCGACCACCACCCATCCTTGCAGCGCCTCACGGCTCTCCGAACCTCCGAGCGAAGGCTGCGGTAAGCCTCCTCATTCTCTGACGTGGGATTCTGTAGCCGATGACAGTGGGCCTGTCGCTTTTTCTCAACCATCCTGAACAACTCCTCTGTCAGCCAGGGTGTCTGGGGAGGTCTGGACCGCGTACCCAAAGCAGCCATTGCAGCTGCATGAGTCACAGTCCTAAACCTCGCCCATTTACCCTCGACATCAGGAGGAGTCGGGGACAATGCCAATCCCAGCCGCAAGCGATGATGAAATTCTCGCTTGCAACTTTCATCAGATAACTGAGACCAGGCCACTTTAGGTTGGAATGGGGTCCTGGGTGTACACCCACCACCGGAGTGGAAGAATGGCAGGCGCATCTTACAGATGACTAGTCGATGGTCAGAGGGCAGATCAGCTCCACGGTAGGTCCTGGTGTCAAGGACATGGGCTCGCATTCGCTGGTCCGTCACTATGTAGTCCAGCAGATGTTCTTGCTTGGACCCGGCATGCATCCATGATGTTGTGTGGATGCGCCGATGCCGGAACAGCGTGTTGGTAATTACAAGCCCATGGGCTGCACAAAAATCTAGCAGCCTCCTACCGTTGTTATTGAGCTGATCTGGCCCATGCCCTCCAATCACTCCAGACCAGGTGCCAGTATCATGACCAACTCGGGTATTGAAGTCACCCAACATGATGACTCTATCCCGAGGGGCCACTTTAGCCAGCACCTGTGACAGGAGGTCATAGAAGGCATCTGACTCATCGGCTTTGCCTGCATCCCTCCACGGATGTTCATCTTCGGTGGGGGCATAAGTAACCACGACCACCATTCCTCGCCTCCGGTTGATGGGAAGGCGAGCCCAAAGTAGCCTGGGGCTTACAGCTTCCCACACCTCACCGCCACGCTCCCACGCCCCCTTCATTCTTTTGTTCAAAAGAAGAGCCACACCCTGTTGTTTGGCAGTCTGCTGCCCCGAGTAGAGGACTGTCCACCCCTCATGGTGGCAGGAGCCAGAGCCGGTCCACCGGACCTCCTGAATGCCGCATAGATCCAGGCGGTACCGGTCCAGCTCCCGACAGAGGAGTGGCAGCCTCTCCTCTGCAGTGAGCGTTCGAACATTCCACGTGGCCAACCGTAGTGGCTTTTCGTTGTTTCTGGAGTAGCCCCGAGGGTAGGTATTCAATCTCCTGGCTCCGCCAATTGGGGTTTGGCCAGGAGACGTCATAGACGCCTGGCCCCCCGGGGCCTCCGGCACAAGCTTAGTTGTTACATATTTCAGTTTAATTCGTAGTTTCGTGGTAATTAATTGAAGGTGGAGGGGTTACCAGCCCCTCGCACCCGTCCAGAGCCCCCGTTTAGCCCCTGTGGTGGACACATATGCCATGAGGGGAGGAGCCAATCAAAATTGGATCTCCCCCCACAGCGCTGTCCACGACAGAGTTGCCCGTCCGGCACCGCGAGGAGGTAGGGGGTTGTTTTGCCGGACTTGACACACACACAGTGACACACACAGTGACCCACACAGTGACACACCGCACAGTGACACACACACAGTGACACACACACAGTGACACACACACAGTGACACACACACACAGTAACACTCACACACAGTGACACACACACACAGTGACACACACACACAGTGACACTCACACACAGTGACACACACACACAGTGACACACACACACAGTGACACACACAGTGACACACACACACACAGTGACACACACACACAGTGATACACACACACAGTGACACACACACACATTGACACACACACACAGTGACACTCACACACAGTGACACACACACACAGTGACACACACAGTGACACACACACACAGTGACACACACACAGTGACACACACACACAGTGACACACACAGTGACACACACACACAGTGACACACACACACAGTGACACACACACAGTGACACACACACAGTGATACACACACACAGTGACACACACACACAGTGACACACACACACAGTGACACACACACACAGTGACACACACACAGTGACACACACACACAGTGTTACACACACAGTGACACACACACAGTGACACACACACACAGTGACACACACACACAGTGACACACACAGTGACACACACACACAGTGACACACACACAGTGACACACACACACAGTGACACACACACATAGTGACACACACACAGTGACACACACAGTGACACACACAGTGACACACACACCCACCCCTCACCACTCCTCACCACCACCCTCACCACCCCTTACCACTCCTCACCACTGCTCACCACTCCTCACCACTGCTCACCACCCCTCACCACTGCTCACCACCGCTCACCACTCACCACCACTGCTCACCACTGCTCACCGCCCCTCACCACTCACCACCACTCACCACCACTCACCACCACTCCTCACCACCACTCCTCACCACCACCCCTCACCACTGCTCCTCACCACCGCTCACCACTCACCGCCCCTCACCACCACCCCTCACCACCACCCCTCACCACCACCCCTCACCACCACCCCTCACCACCACCCCTCACCACTGCTCCTCACCACCACCACTCCTCACCACCGCTCCTCACCACTCGTTGTGCTGCAGGTAGCACTCCGCTGGGCTGCTACCGCCAGCTGATTGAGTTTGTCAAGTCTGGAGATCTTTCATTCAAGCACGTCACCACCTTCAACATGGACGAGTACGTGGGTGAGTGTCCACCTACAACTCCACCACCACCTCCACCACCACCACCATCACCACCACCTCCACCATCACTATCACCACGTGGGTGAGTGTCAAGTCGGGAGATCTTTCATTCAAGCACGTCACCACCTTCAACATGGACGAGTACGTGGGTGAGTGTCCACCACCTCCTCCACCACCACCTCCACCACCTCCACCACCACCACCATCACCACGTGGGTGAGTGTCAAGTCTGGAGATCTTTCATTCAAGCACGTCACCACCTTCAACATGGACGAGTACGTGGGTGAGTGTCCACCACCTCCACCATCACCACCACCACCACCACCTCCACCATCACCACCATCACCATCACCTCGTGGGTGAGTGTCAAGTCTGGAGATCTTTCATTCAAGCACGTCACCACCTTCAACATGGACGAGTACGTGGGTGAGTGTCCACCTACAACTCCACCATCACTTCCATCACCACCTCCACCACCACCACCACCATCACCTCCACCACCACCATCACCATCACCACTTGGGTGAGTGTCAAGTCTGGAGATCTTTCATTCAAGCACGTCACCACCTTCAACATGGACGAGTACGTTGGTGAGTGTCCACCTACAACTCCACCACCACCTCCAACACCTCCACCACCACCACCACCACCACCACCTCCACCATCACTATCACCACGTGGGTGAGTGTCAAGTCTGGAGATCTTTCATTCAAGCACGTCACCACCTTCAACATGGACGAGTACGTGGGTGAGTGTCCACCTACAACTCCACCACCACCTCCACCACCTCCACCACCACCACCTCCACCATCACCACCATCACCATCACCATCACGTGGGTGAGTGTCAAGTCTGGAGATCTTTCATTCAAGCACGTCACCACCTTCAACATGGACGAGTACGTGGGTGAGTGTCCACCTACAACTCCACCACCACCTCCACCACCACCATCACCACCACCATCACCATCACCACGTGGGTGAGTGTCAAGTCGGGAGATCTTTCATTCAAGCACGTCACCACCTTCAACATGGACGAGTACGTGGGTGAGTGTCCACCACCTCCACCACCATCACCATCACGTGGGTGAGTTTGTCAAGTCGGGAGATCTTTCATTCAAGCACGTCACCACCTTCAACATGGACGAGTACGTGGGTGAGTGTCCACCACCACCTCCACCACCTCTACCACCACCATCACCACCACCACCATCACGTGGGTGAGTGTCAAGTCGGGAGATCTTTCATTCAAGCACGTCACCACCTTCAACATGGACGAGTACGTGGGTGAGTGTCCACCACCACCTCCACCATCACCACGTGCGTGAGTGTCCACCACCACCATGACCACCACCATCACCATCACCACCTCCTCCACCACCACCACCACCATCACCACCACTTACACCATCACGTGGGTGAGTGTCCACCACCTCCACCACCTCCACCACCACCTACAACTCCACCACCTCCACCACCTCCACCACCATCACCACGTGGGTGAGTGTCAAGTCGGGAGATCTTTCATTCAAGCACGTCACCACCTTCAACATGGACGAGTACGTGGGTGAGTGTCCACCACCTCCACCATCACCACCTCCGTGAGTGAGTGGGTGGTGGATACCACCCCCACGTGTCTTCCAGTGTCCACCAGTGTCTCACTCACTCACCCACTCACTCACCCACACACTCACCCACTCTACTCACTCACCCACTCACCCACCCACCCACCCACTCACCCACCCACCCACTCACCCACTCTACTCATTCACTCACCCACCCACCCACTCACTCACCCACTCACTCACCCACTCACCCAACCACCCACCCACTCACTCACCCACTCACCCACTCACCCAACCACCCACCCACTCTACTCTCTCACTCACTTACCCACTCACTCACCCACCCACCCACTCACTCACCCACCCACTCTACTCACTCACCCACCCACTCTACTCACCCACCCACTCTACTCACTCACCCACTCACTCACCCACTCACCCACCCACCCACCCACTCACTCACCCACCCACCCACCCACCCACCAACCCCCCCACTATGTCCCTCCTCCCCACCCCAGGCCTCCCACGTGACCACCCTGAGAGCTACCACTCGTTTATGTGGACCCATTTCTTCAAGGAGGTCGACATCGACCCAGCTAATGTCCACATCCTGGACGGGAACGCCAGTGACCTTGAGAAGGAGTGTGCGAGGTTTGAGCGTGAGATCACTCTGGCTGGAGGGATAGAGCTCTTTGTGGGAGGTGAGTGGGTGGGTGGGTGAGTGAGTGAGTGGGTGAATGGGGGAGTGACTGGGTGAGTGAGTGGATGGGGGAGTGAGTGAGTGAGTGGGTGGGTGAGTGGGTGGGTGAGTGGGTGGGTGAATGTGTGGGTGAGTGGGTGGGTGAATGAGTGTGTGAGTGAGTGAGTGGGTGAGTGGGTTGGTGAGTGAGTGGATGGGGGAGTAAGTGGGTGAGTGGGGGAGTGAGTGGGTGAGTGGGTGAGTGGGGGAGTGAGTGGGTGGGTGGGTGAGTGAGTGAGTGGGTGGGTGAATGAGTGAGTGGGTGAGTGTGTGGGTGAGTGGGTGGGTGAATGAGTGTGTGAGTGTGTGAGTGAGTGAGTGGGTGAGTGGGGGAGTGAGTGGGTGGGTGGGTGAGTGGGTGGGTGGGTGAGTGGGTGAGTGGGTGAGTGTATGGGTGGGTGGTGTGTCTGTCTGTGTGTGTGTGTGTGTCTGTGTGTCTGTCTGTGTGTGTGTCTGTGTGTGTGTGTCTGTCTGTGTGTGTGTGTGTGTCTGTGTGTGTGTCTGTGTGTGTGTGTGTCTGTGTGTGTGTGTGTGTGTGTCTGTGTGTGTGTGTCTGTGTGTGTGTGTGTCTGTGTGTGTGTGTCTGTGTCTGTGTGTGTGTGTGTCTGTGTGTGTGTGTGTGTCTGTCTGTGTGTGTGTCTGTGTGTCTGTGTCTGTCTGTGTGTGTGTGTGTGTCTCTGTGTGTGTGTGTCTGTGTGTCTGTCTGTCTGTGTGTGTGTGTGTCTGTGTGTGTGTGTCTGTGTGTGTGTGTGTCTGTGTGTGTGTGTGACCCTAGACGTGTCTCCCACCCAGGCATTGGCCCTGATGGCCACATCGCCTTCAACGAGCCCGGCTCCAGCCTCGTGTCCCGCACACGCGTCAAGACGCTGGCCCGGGACACCATCCTGGCCAACGCTCGATTCTTCGGCGGAGACCTCGACAAAGTGCCCACCATGGCGCTCACCGTGGGTGTCGGCACCGTCATGGACGCCAGAGAGGTCACTCACCATCACTCACCATCACTCACACTCACCAACACTCTCACTCACCATCACTCACCATCACTCACCATCACACTCACCATCACACTCACCATCACACTCACCATCACACTCACCACCACACTCACCCACACACTCACCATCACACTCACCACCACACTCACCATCACACTCACCATCACACCATCACACTCACCATCACACTCACCATCACACTCACCCACACACTCACCATCACACTCACCACCACACTCACCATCACACTCACCATCACACTCACCATCACTCTCACCCACACACTCACCATCACACTCACAATCACACTCACCATCACACTCACCATCTCTGTCTCTCTCTCACCATCACACTCACCATCACCATCTCTCTCACCATCACTCTCACCACCACACTCACCATCTCTCTCACCATCACACTCACCACCACACTCACCATCACACTCACCATCACACTCACTATCACACTCATCATCACACTCACCATCACACTCACCATCACACTCACCATCACACTCACCATCACACTCACCATCACAATCACCATCACACTCACCATCTCTCTCACCATCACACTCACCATCACACTCATCATCACACTCACCATCACACTCACCATCACACTCACCATCACACTCACCATCACCATCACACTCACCATCACACTCACCATCACCATCACACTCACCATCACAATCACCATCACACTCACCATCACACTCACCATCACACTCACCATCACACTCACCATCACACTCACCATCACTCACCATCACACTCACCATCACACTCACCATCACACTCACCATCACTCACCATCACACTCACCATCACCATCACACTCACCATCACACTCACCATCACCATCACACTCACCATCACAATCACCATCACACTCACCATCACACTCACCATCACACTCACCATCACTCACCATCACACTCACCACCACACTCACCCACACACTCACCATCACACTCACCACCACACTCACCATCACACTCACCATCACACCATCACACTCACCATCACACTCACCATCACACTCACCCACACACTCACCACCACACTCACCCACACACTCACCATCACACTCACCACCACACTCACCATCACACTCACCACCACACTCACCATCACTCACCATCACACTCACCATCACACTCACCATCACTCTCACCCACACACTCACCATCACACTCACAATCACACTCACCATCACACTCACCATCACACACACACACTCACCATCACACTCACCATCTCTCTCTCTCTCTCACCATCACACTCACCATCACCATCTCTCTCACCATCACTCTCACCACCACACTCACCATCTCTCTCACCATCACACTCACCATCACACTCACCACCACACTCACCATCACACTCACCATCACACTCACCATCACACTCACCATCACACTCATCATCACACTCACCATCACACTCACCATCACACTCACCATCACACTCACCATCACACTCACCATCACACTCACCATCACACTCACCATCACACTCACGATCACCATCACACTCACCATCACACTCACCATCACCATCACACTCACCATCACAATCACCATCACACTCACCATCACACTCACCATCACACTCACCATCACACTCACCATCACCATCACACTCACCATCACACTCACCATCACACTCACCATCACTCACCATCACACTCACCATCACACTCACCATCACACTCACCATCACTCACCATCACTCACCATCACACTCACCATCACACTCACCATCACACTCACCATCACTCACCATCTCTCACCATCTCTCACCATCACACTCACCATCACACTCACCATCACTCACCATCACACTCACCATCACTCACCATCTCACTCACCATCACACTCACCATCACTCACCATCACTCACCATCACACTCACCATCACACTCACCATCACTCACCATCACACTCACCATCACACTCACCATCACACTCGCCATCACTCACCATCTCTCTCACCATCTCACTCACCATCACACTCACCATCACTCACCATCACACTCACCATCACACTCACCATCACACTCACCATCACACTCACCATCACACTCACCATCACTCACCATCACACTCACCATCACACTCACCATCACCATCACACTCACCATCACACTCACCATCACCATCACACTCACCATCACACTCACCATCACACTCACCATCACACTCACCATCACACTCACCATCACCATCACTCACCAACACCATCACTCACCATCACTCACCAACACTCTCACCATCACTCTCACTATCACACTATCACTCACCATCACAATCTCTCACCATCACACTCACCATCACACTCACCATCACACCATCACTCACCATCACTCACCATCACCGTCACTCACCATCACACTCACCATCACTATCACTCACCATCACCATCACTCACCATCACACTCACCATCACACTCACTATCACACTCACCATCACACTCACCATCACACTCACCATCACACTCACCATCACACCATCACACTCTCACCATCACACTCACCATCACACTCACCATCACACTCACCATCACACTCACCACCACACTCACCCACACACTCACCATCACACTCACCACCACACTCACCACCACACTCACCATCACACTCACCATCACACCATCACACTCACCATCACACTCACCATCACCATCACTCACCATCACCATCACTCACCATCACTCACCAACACTCTCACCATCACTCTCACTATCACACTATCACTCACCATCACAATCTCTCACCATCACACTCACCATCACACTCACCATCACACCATCACTCACCATCACTCACCATCACCGTCACTCACCATCACACTCACCATCACTATCACTCACCATCACCATCACTCACCATCACACTCACCATCACACTCACTATCACACTCACCATCACACTCACCATCACACTCACCATCACACTCACCATCACACCATCACACTCTCACCATCACACTCACCATCACACTCACCATCACACTCACCATCACACTCACCACCACACTCACCCACACACTCACCATCACACTCACCATCACACCATCACACTCACCACCACACTCACCATCACACTCACCATCACACTCACCATCACACCATCACACTCTCACCATCACACTCACCATCACACTCACCATCACACTCACCATCACACTCACCACCACACTCACCCACACACTCACCATCACACTCACCATCACACTCACCACCACATTCACCACCACACTCACCATCACACTCACCATCACACCATCACACTCACCACCACACTCACCATCACTCACCATCACACTCACCATCACTCTCACCCACACACTCACCATCACACTCACAATCACACTCACCATCACACTCACCATCACACTCACCATCACACTCACCATCACACTCACCATCACACTCACCATCACACTCACCATCACACTCACCATCACACTCACCATCACACTCACCATCACCATCACACTCACCATCACACTCACCATCACCATCACACTCACCATCACACTCACCATCACACTCACCATCACTCACCACCACACTCACCCACACACTCACCATCACACTCACCACCACACTCACCATCACACTCACCATCACACTCACCATCACACCATCACACTCACCATCACACTCACCATCACACTCACCCACACACTCACCACCACACTCACCCACACACTCACCATCACACTCACCACCACACTCACCATCACACTCACCACCACACTCACCATCACTCACCATCACACTCACCATCACACTCACCATCACTCTCACCCACACACTCACCATCACACTCACAATCACACTCACCATCACACTCACCATCACACACACACTCACCATCACACTCACCATCTCTCTCTCACCATCACACTCACCATCACCATCTCTCTCACCATCACTCTCACCACCACACTCACCATCTCTCTCACCATCACACTCACCATCACACTCACCACCACACTCACCATCACACTCACCATCACACTCACTATCACACTCATCATCACACTCACCATCACACTCACCATCACACTCATCATCACACTCACCATCACACTCACCATCACACTCACCATCACACTCACCATCACACTCACCATCACCATCACACTCACCATCACACTCACCATCACCATCACACTCACCATCACAATCACCATCACACTCACCATCACACTCACCATCACACTCACCATCACTCACCATCACACTCACCATCACACTCACCATCACACTCACCATCACTCACCATCACACTCACCATCACACTCACCATCACACTCACCATCACTCACCATCACTCACCATCACACTCACCATCACACTCACCATCACACTCACCATCACACTCACCATCACTCACCATCTCTCACCATCACACTCACCATCACACTCACCATCACTCACCATCACACTCACCATCACTCACCATCACACTCACCATCACACTCACCATCACACTCACCATCACACTCACCATCACACTCACCATCACTCGCCATCACACTCACCATCACACTCACCATCACACTGACCATCACACTCGCCATCACTCACCATCTCTCTCACCATCACACTCACCATCACACTCACCATCACTCACCATCACACTCACCATCACACTCACCATCACACTCACCATCACTCACCATCACACTCACCATCACACTCACCATCACCATCACACTCACCATCACACTCACCATCACCATCACACTCACCATCACACTCACCATCACACTCACCATCACACTCACCACTCACCATCACACTCACCATCTCTCTCTCTCACCATCACACTCACCATCACACTCACCATCACACTCACCATCACACTCACCATCTCTCTCACCATCACACTCACCATCACACTCACCATCACACTCACCATCTCTCTCACCATCACACTCACCATCACTCTCACCACACTCACCACCACACTCACCACCACACTCACCATCACACTCACCCACACACTCACCATCACACTCACCATCACACTCACCATCACACTCACCATCACACTCACCATCTCTCTCTCCCCATCACACTCACCATCACACTCACCATCACACTCATCATCACACTCACCATCACACTCACCATCACACTCACCATCACACTCACCATCACACTCACCATCACCATCACACTCACCATCACACTCACCATCACCATCACACTCACCATCACAATCACCATCACACTCACCATCACACTCACCATCACACTCACCATCACTCACCATCACACTCACCATCACACTCACCATCACACTCACCATCACTCACCATCACACTCACCATCACACTCACCATCACACTCACCATCACTCACCATCACTCACCATCACACTCACCATCACACTCACCATCACACTCACCATCACACTCACCATCACTCACCATCTCTCACCATCACACTCACCATCACACTCACCATCACTCACCATCACACTCACCATCACTCACCATCACACTCACCATCACACTCACCATCACACTCACCATCACACTCACCATCACACTCATCACCACACTCACCACCACACTCACCATCACACTCACCATCACACTCACCATCACACTCACCATCACACTCACCATCACCATCACACTCACCATCACAATCACCATCACACTCACCATCACACTCACCATCACTCACCATCACACTCACCATCACACTCACCATCACACTCACCATCACACTCACCATCACACTCACCATCACTCACCATCACACTCACCATCACACTCACCATCACACTCACCATCACTCACCATCACTCACCATCACACTCACCATCACACTCACCATCACACTCACCATCACACTCACCATCACTCACCCACACACTCACCCACACACTCACCCACACACTCACCATCACACTCACCATCACACTCACCATCACACTCACCATCACACTCACCATCACTCACCATCACACTCACCATCTCTCTCTCTCTCACCATCACACTTACCATCACTCACCACCACACTCACCATCACTCACCATCACACTCACCATCACACTCACCATCACACTCACCATCACTCACCATCACTCACCATCTCACTCACCATCACACTCACCATCACACTCACCATCACACTCACCATCACACTCACCATCACACTCACCATCTCTCTCTCTCTCTCCCCACCACACTCACCATCACACTCACCATCACACTCACCATCACACTCACCATCACACTCACCATCACACTCATGACTCACCATCACACTCACCATCACTCACCATCACACTCACCATCACACTCACCATCACACTCACCATCACCATCACACTCACCATCACACTCACCATCACACTCACCATCACACTCACCATCACCATCACACTCACCATCACACTCACCACTCACCATCACACTCACCATCTCTCTCTCTCACCATCACACTCACCATCACACTCACCATCACACTCACCATCACACTCACCATCACACTCACCATCACACTCACCATCACACTCACCATCACCATCACACTCACCATCACACTCACCATCACACTCACCACTCACCATCACTCACCATCACTCACCATCACCATCACACTCACCATCACACTCACCATCACACTCACCACTCACCATCACACTCACCATCTCTCTCTCTCACCATCACACTCACCATCTCTCTCACCATCACACTCACCATCACACTCACCATCACACTCACCATCTCTCTCACCATCACACTCACCATCACTCTCACCACACTCACCACCACACTCACCACCACACTCACCATCACACTCACCCACACACTCACCATCACACTCACCATCACACTCACCATCACACTCACGATCACACTCACCATCACACTCATGACTCACCATCACACTCACCATCTCTCTCTCTCACCATCACACTCACCATCACACTCACCATCACACTCACCATCTCTCTCACCATCACACTCACCATCACACTCACCATCACACTCACCATCTCTCTCACCATCACACTCACCATCACTCTCACCACACTCACCACCACACTCACCACCACACTCACCATCACACTCACCCACACACTCACCATCACACTCACCATCACACTCACCATCACACTCACCATCACACTCACCATCACACTCACCATCACACTCATGACTCACCATCACACTCACCATCACTCACCATCACACTCACCATCACTCACCATCACACTCACCATCACACTCACCATCACACTCACCATCACACTCACCATCACCATCACACTCACCATCACACTCACCATCACCATCACACTCACCACTCACCATCACACTCACCATCTCTCTCTCTCACCATCACACTCACCATCACACTCACCATCACACTCACCATCACACTCACCATCACCATCACACTCACCATCACACTCACCATCACCATCACACTCACCATCACACTCACCATCACACTCACCACTCACCATCACTCACCATCACTCACCATCACCATCACACTCACCATCACACTCACCATCACACTCACCATCACACTCACCACTCACCATCACACTCACCATCACACTCACCATCACACTCACCATCTCTCTCACCATCACTCACCATCACACTCACCATCACACTCACCATCTCTCTCTCTCTCACCATCACACTCACCATCACACTCACCATCACACTCACCATCTCTCTCACCATCACACTCACCATCACACTCACCATCACACTCACCATCTCTCTCACCATCACACTCACCATCACTCTCACCACACTCACCACCACACTCACCACCACACTCACCATCACACTCACCCACACACTCACCATCACACTCACCATCACACTCACCATCACACTCACCATCACACTCACCATCTCTCTCTCCCCATCACACTCACCATCACACTCACCATCACACTCACCATCTCTCTCTCTCTCTCCCCACCACACTCACCATCACACTCACCATCACACTCACCATCACACTCACCATCACACTCACCATCACACTCACCATCACACTCACCATCACACTCACCATCACACTCACCATCACACTCACCATCACCATCACACTCACCATCACACTCACCATCACACTCACCACTCACCATCACTCACCATCACTCACCATCACCATCACACTCACCATCACACTCACCATCACACTCACCATCACACTCACCACTCACCATCACACTCACCATCACACTCACCATCACACTCACCATCTCTCTCACCATCACTCACCATCACACTCACCATCACACTCACCATCTCTCTCTCTCTCACCATCACACTCACCATCACACTCACCATCACACTCACCATCTCTCTCACCATCTCTCTCACCATCACACTCACCATCACACTCACCATCACACTCACCATCTCTCTCACCATCACACTCACCATCACTCTCACCACACTCACCACCACACTCACCACCACACTCACCATCACACTCACCCACACACTCACCATCACACTCACCATCACACTCACCATCACACTCACCATCACACTCACCATCTCTCTCTCCCCATCACACTCACCATCACACTCACCATCACACTCACCATCTCTCTCTCTCTCTCTCCCCACCACACTCACCATCACACTCACCATCACACTCACCATCACACTCACCATCACACTCACCATCACACTCACCATCACACTCATGACTCACCATCACACTCACCATCTCTCTCTCTCTCTCTCACCATCACACTCACCACCACACTCACCCACACACTCACCACCACACTCACCATCACACTCACCATCACATTCACCATCACTCACCATCACACTCACCATCACACTGACCATCACTCACACACACCATCACTCACACTATCACTCACCATCACACTCACCATCTCTCTCACCATCACACTCACCATCACACTCACCATCACACTCACCATCACACTCATGACTCACCATCACACTCACCATCTCTCTCTCTCTCACCATCACACTCACCACCACACTCACCCACACACTCACCACCACACTCACCATCACACTCACCATCACATTCACCATCACTCACCATCACACTCACCATCACACTGACCATCACTCACACACACCATCACTCACACTATCACTCACCATCACACTCACCATCTCTCTCACCATCACACTCACCATCACACTCATGACTCACCATCACACTCACCATCTATCTCTCTCTCTCTCACCATCACACTCACCACCACACTCACCACCACACTCACCACCACACTCACCATCACACTCACCCACACACTCACCACCACACTCACCACCACACTCACCACCACACTCACCACCACACTCACCACCACACTCACCACCACCACACTCACCACTCACCACCACACTCACCACCTCTCTCGATGCCTCTCCCCAGGTGATGATTCTCATCACAGGAGCCCACAAGGCACTGGCCCTGTACAAGGCCATTGAGGACGGAGTGAACCATATGTGGACCGTCTCAGCCTTCCAGCAGCATCCACACTCCACCTTTGTCTGCGATGAAGATGCCACGCTTGAGCTTCGCGTCAAGACGGTCAAATACTTCAAGGGTGAGCGGGGTGGGGATGGTGGTGGTGAATGAATGAGTGGCTGAGTGAGTGGGTGAATGGGTGGGTGAGTGGGTAGGTGAGTGGGTGAGTGAGTGAGTGTGTGAGTGGGTGAGTGAGTGTGTGAGTGGGTGAGTGAGTGGGTGGGTGGGTAGGTGAGTGGGTGAGTGAGTGGGTGGGTGGGTAGGTGAGTGGGTAGGTGAGTGGGTGGATGGGTGAATGGGTGGGTGAGTGAGTGGGTGGGTGAGTGGGTGAGTGGGTGGGTGAGTGGGTGGGTGGGTGGGTGAGTGGTGGGTGAGTGGGTGAGTGGGTAGGTGAGTGGGTGGGTGGGTGGGTGAGTGGGTGAGTGGGTGGGTGAGTGGGTGAGTGGGTGAGTGAGTGAGTGGGTGAGTGAGTGGCTGAGTGTGTGAGTGAGTGGGTGACTGAGTGAGTGGGTGAGTGGGTAGGTAAGTGAGTGAGTGGGTGAGTGAGTGGGTAGGTGAGTGGGTGGGTGAGTGAGTGGCTGAGTGGCTGAGTGAATGAGTGAGTGGCTGAGTGGCTGAGTGGCTGAGTGAATGAGTGAATGAGTGAGTGAGTGGCTGAGTGAATGAGTGAATGAATGAATGAGTGAATGATTCACTGCCCCGTGTCTCCCGCAGGGCTGATGTACGTTCACAACAAGCTGGTGGACCCCATGCTGAGCATCAAAGACTCACAAAGCAAAGTGGTGGAGCCCTCTCAAGGCGTCCACGCTGACTCCTACCTGGAGTGACAACCACCACCACAACAACCACAACTACAACTACAACCACCACCACCACAACTACAACCACAACTACAACCACAACTACAACAACAACAACAACCACAACTACTACCACCACAATTACTACAACCACCACAACAACCACAACTACAACCACCACAACTACAACCACAACTACAACCACAACTACAACCACCACAACTACAACCACAACTACAACCACCACCACAACTACAACAACCACAACTACAACCACCACAACTACAACCACAACTACAACCACAACTACTACAACCACCACCACAACTACAACCACCACCACAACAACTACAACCACCACAACAACCACAACTACAACAACAACAACCACCACAACTACAACCACCACAACCACTACAACCACAACTACAACCACCACAACTACAACCACAACTACAACCACCACAACCACAACTACAACCACCACAACAACCACCACAACCACAACTACAACCACCACAACTACAACAACAACTACCACCACAACAACTACAACCACAACTACAACCACAACAACTACAACCACAACTACAACCACCACAACTACAGCCACCACAACTACAACCACAACTACAACCACCACAACCACAACTACAACCACCACAACCACCACCACAACAACTACAACCACAACTACAACCACCACCACAACAACTACAACCACAACTACAACCACAACTACAACCACCACAACAACTACAACCACCACCACAACAACTACAACCACAACTACAACCACAACTACAACCACCACAACTACAACCACCACAACTACAACCACCACAACCACCACGACAACAACTACAACCACAACTACAACCACCACGACAACTACAACCACCACGACAACTACAACCACCACCACAACAACTACAACAGCAACAACCACCGCTACAACCACCACCACAACCATCACAACAACCACAATCACAGCAACCACAACAACCACCACTACAACCATCACAACAACCACAACCACCACAACCACCACAGCAGCAACTCGGTAACTAGTGGTGGGTGGGGGAATTGTAACATTCCAGAGTTAAGGGACTCACTCAGACACTCACTCATACACTCACTCGGACACACACTCACTCTGACACTCACTCACACACTCACTCAGACACACACTCACTCTGACACTCACTCACACACTCACTCAGATACTCATTCAGACACACACTCACTCAGACACTCACTCACACACTCAGACACACACTCACTCAGACACTCACTCACTCTGACACTCACTCACACACTCAGACACTCAGACACTCACTCACTCAGACACTCACTCATACACTCACTCACACACTCAGACACTCACTCAGACACTCACTCAGACACTCAGACACTCACACACTCACTCAGACACTCACTCACTCAGACACTCACTCAATCAGACACTCACTCAGACACTCACTCACTCAGACACTCACTCACACTCACTCAGACAATCAGACACTCACTCACTCAGACACTCATTCACTCAGACACTCACTCAGACACTCAGACACTCACTCACTCAGACACTCACTCACTCAGACACTCACTCAGACACTCACTCACTCAGACACTCACTCATTCAAACGCTCACTCAGACACTCACTCACTCAGACACTCACACACTCAGACACTCACTCACTCAGACACTCACTCAGACACTCAGACACTCACTCAGACACTCACTCACACACTCACTGACCAACTCACTCACACTGACCCACTCACACTGACCCACTCACACACTCACTGACCCACTCACACACTCACTGACCCACTCACACACTCACTGACCCACTCACACACTCACTGACCAACTCACTCACACTGACCCACTCACACTGACCCACTCACACACTCACTGACCAACTCACACACTCACTGACCCACTCACACACTCACTGACCAACTCACACACACTGACTCACTCACACTGACTCACTCACACACTCACTGACTCACTCACACACTCACTGACTCACTCACACACTCACTGACCAACTCACACACTCACTGACCAACTCGCTCACACTGACCCACTCACACTGACCCACTCACACACTCACTGACCAACTCACACACACTGACCCACTCACACACACTGACCCACTCACACACTCACTGACCAACTCACTCACACTGACCCACTCACACTGACCCACTCACACACTCACTGACCCACTCACACACTCACTGACCAACTCACACACTCACTGACCCACTCACACACTCACTGACCAACTCACACACTCACTGACCAACTCACACTGACCCACTCACACACTCACTGACCAACTCACACACTCACTGACCCACTCACACACACTGACCCACTCACACACTCACTGACCCACTCACACACTCACTGACCAACTCACACACACACTGACCCACTCACACTGACCCACTCACACACTCACTGACCAACTCACTCACACTGACCCACTCACACACACTGACCCACTCACACACTCACTGACCAACTCACACACACTCTGACCCACTCACACACTCACTGACCAACTCACACACACTGACTCACTCACACTGACCCACTCACTCACACTGACCCACTCACACACTCACTGACCCACTCACACACTCACTGACCAACTCACACCTACTCTCACACAAAGACAAATGTCCCCCGTATAGCACCAAACAGGGCTGTTGGGTCAAGTGCTGTGACTGGTGATGGTGGTGATGGTGGTGAGGGTGGTGGTGGTGGTGGTGAGGGTGGTGGTGGTGGCGGTGGTGGTGGCGGTGGCGGTGGTGGTGGTGAGGGTGGTGGTGGTGGTGAGGGTGGTGGTGAGGGTGGTGGGGGTGGTGGTGAGGGTGGTGGTGGCGGTGATGGTGGTGGTGGCGGTGGTGGCGATGGTGGTGGTGGTGGTGAGGGTGGTGGTGATGGTGGTGGTGGTGGTGGTGAGGGTGGTGGTGGTGGTGAGGGTGGTGGTGATGGTGGTGGTGGTGGTGGTGAGGGTGGTGGTGGTGGTGGTGGCGACGTTACACGCATCACGATGTTCCTGTGTCTCCCCTTTGAGATGTAAACTGTGCCTGAGATTTTACTAAAGAAAAACCCCTTGCATTGTTACAGATTCATGTTGTGTGTGGGTGTGTGGGGGTGTGTGTGTGAGTGGGTGTGTGTGTGTGGATGGGTGTGTGTGTGTGGATGGGTGTGTGTGAGTGTGAGTGTGTGTGGATGGGTGTGGGTGTGTGTGTGTGGATGGGTGTGTGGGTGTGTGGGTGTGTGTGTGTGGGTGAGTGTGGGTGTGTGTGGATGCGTGTGTGTGTGGGTGTGTGGGTGTGTGTGGATGGGTGTGTGTGTGTGTGAGTGAGTGTGTGTGGATGGGTGTGGGTGTGTGTGTGTGGATGGGTGTGTGGGTGTGTGTGTGTGGGTGAGTGTGGGTGTGTGTGGATGCGTGTGTGTGTGGGTGTGTGGGTGTGTGTGGATGGGTGTGTGTGAGTGTGGGTGTGTGTGGATGGGTGTGTGAGTGTGGGTGTGTGTGTGTGTGTGGATGGGTGTGTGGGTGTGCGTGAGTGTGGGTGTGGGTGAGTGTGGATGGGTGAGTGTGGATGGGTGTGTGTGGATGGGTGTGTGTGGATGGGTGTGTGTGAGTGTGTGTGGGTGTGTGTGGATGGGTGTGTGGGTGTGTGTGGATGGGGGTGTGTGAGTGTGGGGGTGTGTGAGTGAGGGATGTGTGGATGGGTGTGTGTGGGTGGGTGGGTGTGGGGTGTGTGGATGGGTGTGTGTGGGTGGGTGGGTGTGTGTGGGTGGGTGTGTGTGAGTGGGTGGGTGTGTGTGGGTGGGTGTGTGTGTGTGGGTGGGTATGTGTGGGTGGGTGGGTGTGGGTGGGTGGGTGGGTGTGGGTGGGTGTGGGTTGGTGGGTTTGTGTGGGTGGGTTTGTGTGGATGGGTGTGTGTGGATGGGTGTGTGTGTGTGGGTGGGTGTGGGTGGGTGGGTGGGTGTGGGTGGGTGTGGGTTGGTGGGTTTGTGTGGGTGGGTTTGTGTGGATGGGTGTGTGTGTGTGGGTATGTGTGGGTATGTGTGGGTGTGTGTGTGGGTGTGTGTGGGTGGATGGGTGTGTGGGTGTGTGGGTGTGTGTGGATGGGGGTGTGTGAGTGTGGGGGTGTGTGAGTGTGGGGGTGTGTGAGTGTGGGAGTGTGTGAGTGTGTGTGGATGGGTGTGTGTGGATGGGTGTGTGTGGATGGGCGTGTGTGGATGGGCGTGTGTGGATGGGTGTGTGTGGATGGGTGTGTGTGGATGGGTGTGTGTCACTGTGTGTAGTGATAGTGTAGTGGTTAGCGCTACGCTGCGCTATGAACCCGGCGACCCGGGTTCGATTCCCGCTCACGGCCAACACTGTCAGTGACGATTATCTGAACCGGTCCCGGGCCTCTCCTAGGTCGACTCAGCCTCAAATGAGTACCTGGTGCGGTGTGTAGTAAACATCGCCACTGGGGAGACAAAGGCGGTCGGGCGTGGTGCTGGCCACCCACCCCCTCGTGTACCGTTCCGGCATTCATAGGTGCTCGCTAACAGCACTTGCCCCTACAGTATGTTAAGGCTATATGGGGGATCTTTGTGTGTGGGTGTGTGTGTGGGTGAGTGTGTGGGTGAGTATGTGGGTGAGTGTGTGGGTGGGTGGGTGTGTGGGTGGGTGGGTGTGTGGGTGGGTGTGTGGTTGGGTGAGTGTGTGGGTGGGTGGGTGTGTGGGTGGGTGGGTGTGTGGGTGGGTGTGTGGGTGTGTGGGTGGGTGGGTGTGTGGGTGGGTGTGTGGGTTGGTGGGTGTGTGTGTGGGTGAGTGTGTGGGTGAGTGTGTGGGTGAGTGTGTGGGTGAGTGTGTGGGTGAGTGTGTGGGTGAGTGTGTGGGTGAGTGTGTGGGTGAGTGAGTGTGAGGGTGAGTGTGTGTGTGGGTGAGTGAGTGTGTGGGTGAGTGTGTGTGTGGGTGAGTGTGTGGGTGAGTGTGTGTGGGTGAGTGTGTGGGTGAGTGTGTGGGTGAGTGTGTGTGTGTGTGGGTGAGTGTGTGAGTGAGTGTGTGTGTGTGTGGGTGAGTGTGTGGGTGAGTGTGTGTGTGTGTGGGT